CACTCAGCAAAGACAAATCTCTCTGTGGCCCTGCTTTCAGTTATTTTGGGAACATCCAGAGGTAGGGTTTCTGGGTCTCACCACAGTTCTTTTAATTTTTTTGCAGAACACACAGGTTATCCAGTGTCTTTGGTTTTGGCGATGCATCTGGGAAGGGAAGGCTCCTGGGGTGCTATTCTGTGGCTACAAAGAACCTTGACCAGGCCCCATACTTACACTAGTGACAAGAAGCCGGTGCCTGATTGGTTGTAAGAAAGGGGGAGGTGGACATTTTGGATGATTCCCCCTATCTAGGTAACTCCAGATTTGGGGGGCCCATAGCTTCTAAAATTTAGGGGACTTCATTGAGAAAAAGGATGGAAAGAATGGCTTAAAGACCAAGTGCAGGACTCCGAAGAGGCTCATGGATGTGAGGGACCTGCTAAGGTGGACCTGGAGGGGAAGGTGCCCCATGGCACCGTCTCCTTTCCTGGCCAGCCTCTCTCCTTTCCTTGGGGCCCTGTGTCTTCCTCTCCAAGCCCCTGTGGTGCTTGGCGGTGGTGGGGAGGCACCTGCTCACCTGCACACCAGGCACGACCCATACCCTCCACTGCCATCCTCCCTGTGGGGCTTTTGCTGAAAGTGCTGATCAGGGTGTGATCTTGGTCCCTCTGTTGGTGAGCTTCTCACCAAAGCGAGACCGTTGTGTGGAGACACACAGGCTGGTGACGTCTTGGACAGAGTCCTGAATCTGTCATGTTGGAGTCAGCTGTACTACCTTGCTGCCACGTGAACCCACGGAGTCTTTGTGACTAAGTGGGGTTGACGTCATTACTTCGGGTTGGACATTCATTGTCCTTATCCGTTCATTGTGTAGAACTCTTGGGTCTGTTTGGTAACTGGGGTTCAGGGTGATCCTGCTGACAAGTCAGCCACACGCTGACTCTCTGGGAAAGGTGGCGTGTGGGGGGCACATAGCAGACCCCCTCGTTGACGTTTCCCTTTGCCTTGGCAAACCACGATCAGAAATGGTAAATGGAAAATTCCCGAAATAATTCAAAGGCTTTAAGTAGCACACTATGTGAGTAGCATGGTGATCTCTCACACTGTCTGCTCGCAGGGTGAGTCACCCTTCTGCCATGGACCTGCCCAAATATGCTACATGTCCAGTAGTCATTTAGCAGCTGTCTTGATTGCATGCTTGTGTTTGTGCAACCCTCATTTTACTCAATCACGGCCCCAGAGTGCAAGAGCAGTGATGTAGCAATGTGGATATGCCAAGGAAGAGCTGGAAACGAGCTGAAGTATCACCTCACGTCATCACGAGAAGAGGAAGGATGGGTACAGAAGACGGGTGATGGACGGATGACTGATAGATGGAGGACAGACAGACAGATTGATACCACATTCCCATAACTTTTATCATGGCATGTTCTATTTTATTCCTAGCTGCAGTTAGTCTCTTACTGTGCCTAATTTATAGATCAAATTTTATCACAGTTTGCATACATGGGAATACACACTGTACAGTACGTACAGGGTTGGGTTCTTTCCTTGGGGGTCTTGGGCCAGATCCAAAGGGATTAAGGGACCAGGGTACACACAGTGTCAGCTGGAGTCGGTGGTGAGCACTCCCCAGAAGGAGAAAATGCAGGGGAAGGGGTGAACGTGCCCTGCAGGAGTGACCTCATCTCCCTGTAGCTGAGCCCTGGAGCTTCCTAGTGGCCGGCATGGAAGCCCCGTGCACCCCTTTCACCTGCCTGCTTTCAGGAAAATTGATGTCACGTGAAGATGAGTAACCACAAGCGATCAAGCCCCATGCAAAGCTGTCATTACAGGAAAACAGCAACAAAGACAGGAGTATGTTCTAATATTTTCCATAAGACGTTCCCTTCAAAAAGTGATTTCAGATTTTCCAGGGATAAGTTGGTTTTTGAGAAATCGTCCTCTACCAAAGCCAGGTTTCACATCCAGTTCTGCTGTGTATTAATCATCTGAGTTTGGCCAGGTCATGCATCCCTCTTCACTTAGTTTCTGAGTGTGACATGGGCAGAGGTTATCACAGGGTCAGGAGCGATGCCTGTAAGAGGGGAGACTGCAAGTTGTCATCTGGACAGGACACTTGAGAGTAAAAGTGAGGGAGATCTATCAGGACTCTGAGACCAAAGGCAGTATTTGTGGTGTTGTTTTGTTTCAAGATAAGGGCCCATTATGTAGCTCAGGTTGGCCTCGAACTTGTGATCCTCCCGCCGTAGGCTCCCATGTGCTGGGATTACAGGCATTCGACATCATGCCTGGCTTAAATATGATACTTTTCATAGCACCTCTTTCACTCAAAGGTGTTCCTCTACCAGTGATAAACGACTGTGATCTCACTACCCGTAGCGCTCAGCACACAGTACCAGCTTTAGATACTTCTGGTTCTGAGCCGTCTAGGGTTTCCTCTGCCTTTAATGTAACCCACGGGCTCCTTTGTGGTTCTTCGTGATTCTCTGACACTGTGTTTACAGGATGGCACAGTTCGAATGTGTTCCTCAAAAGTTGATGCGTTAGAAACTTCACTCCAAATCAGCGTTATTAGTGTTTGGAGGCAGGGCGCTGGGAGGTGATCAATGAGGTCATGAAGATGGGGCCCCCACAATGGTATTAGTGGCTTGATCGGGTGGAGTGGAGACCCGGCTGGTGCACCTGCTCTGACTGCCATGTGGTGATGCAGCAAGAAGCCTCCTGCTTCTGGACTTCCCAGCCTCCCGAGTGTGGGGTGAATAAACCTCTGCTCTTCATAAAGTATCAAGTCTCAGGTATTTCGGTTAAGCTAGTGCCAGTCCCAAAGCAATTGTTACTATTGTCCTGGTGGCAGGGGATGTGACAACACAACCCACAGATTTGCATCTGTGAAACAATTCTTACAGCTCATCAACAGCCGTTTTTAATTAACGGGAATTTGGGAAAGTAGAGTCCAAGTATTTAAGAGTTTGTATTTCAATTCAAAATGTTTTCCATATTAAAAGAAACTTCCAGTGAAAACACTTAAGATTATTGGGACACACCCTGGAGCACACTGTCTTGTTGGAACCCGGCCAAGCTTTTCTGAATTTATCTTGATGACGATCACCTAAAGACTCACGCTGTAATCCTGGCTACTTGGGAGGCTGAGATTGGGAGGATTGAGGTTCGAGGCTAGCCTAGGTAAATAGTTTTTGAGACCCCAACACCAAAATAACCACTGCCGGGCCCCAGTAGAATCAACAATTGTTTAGGTTGCGAGGTTTAGTGGCAATGTCAGAAACAGCTTCACAGTCTTGGGGAGGATAATAGTTGACCACACAAATGTAGCAAGTGTAAAGTTCATTTTAAACCACAGTGCTGCAAGTGCCTTAAATCCATTTCAGCCTGTCACCATCCTGGCCAGAAACTGTGCTCCTCACTCGTGCATACAATAAAACTCACTTTCCATGACAAAATTGACTCTTTCACAAACAGTAGTAAGTGGCTGACACTGACTTTGGCCTTGGTTTCAATCCCCACTCTGACAGACGGGGCTGTGAAGCTTAGACTGCCTCAGGAAGGATTTACCCACTGGGCTGTGTGATTTCTACTTCAAACCTGGTCACTGTTTGTCACGCTTATTGGTTCTAAAGGAAAGCAGGTGAGGTCTTGTGGGTGACACACAGCCACTGTCACACAACTGGAAAACAGCCCCAACTGCCTGCTCTCCTAGTAGTGGGTCTTTGGCTGGGAAGAATGCCCTAATTACCCGCATTACTTATGGACTAATTAGCACATCAATTACATTTACAAACCATCTCACTTTCCTCGCTGCGAGCCCCTCCCCCTCTGCACAAGCACTACCTCCCAGAGTGGGGGACATTCTTGCAAAGTTAACAGCGCTTCTGTGCACTTCCCGTCCCAGCTGCTTTGTTTATTTCTCATCCAGAATGGTCCAGCCATGGCCAGATATTTGGGCTCCTCTGGACAAGGAGGCTGCCACATCTGGTTCTGGGATCTCCAGCGCACATCAGCTTGTATTTGGGAATCTGAGCTCTCATATTGGGGTTCAGGGGATCAAAACCTGCTCTAGGTGTGCACCTGCAAGCGACGGCCAGGGGCGAGGCTTTGGAGGTGGCCCCCTGGGCCAGGATGTCAGCTTTCTCACGCTGAGAAAGATTTGAAAGTGTACCGGGTAGAGGTCTGGGGTGAGTAAAGGGGTATTCATAGCACACACACTCCCATTGAGCACAGGCAGGTGAGGGGCTTTGTCTCTGTAAAAATTTGACATCCAGATCAGGAAAAAAGAAAAGGAAGGCAAAGGCAGGAAACGGGACCACGGGAGAATGGAGGCCGCTTCTGTTTTAAAGGATCCTTCTTTCTGTATATAGGACTCCACATTCAAAGATGTCCCGGATTTAAAAAAAACAAGCGACCAACGAAACCCAGGCGGAGCAACAGTCAGCCGGACTTTTGGACCAGCAGAATTCCGGGAGAAGGCGCAGATCCACGAGCAGCTGGTGCCAATGCAGCCGAGGAAGGGGGCCGCCCCAGGCATGTCCCTCGGCCTGTGCGTTCGGACTTTAGAGAGAGAGCTGGCCCTGGCCAAGACCGGCGTGCAGGGCGGCGCAACAGGTGTGCGGGCTGGAGGGGAGGGGCGTGCAGGTGTCGGGCCTCCCTTTTTGGGGCTGCTCTTGGTGCTTCCCTCCCCGGGCCGCCCGGGTCCCCAGCCGGGAACAGGCGGTCGGCGGCGAGTCGGCTCGATGGCCGTCCTGTCCCCTCCGCGGGCCCCGAGCCCTTGCGGATGCCTGGAAGTTGAAGCGAACCTCGGGCGGCCCCAGGCGCCGGGGCGGGGCCGGGACCCACGAGGGGCGGAGCGGGAGATCACAAGGGGCGGGGCCGTGCCCTTCGCGCTGCCATTGGCTGAGGCGCCCAGAGCGGCGGGAGGAGGAGGCCCGCTATTGGTCGGGCGCGCCAGCCAATCCCGAAGTCCCCGGGGACCAGGCGGGGGCAGTCGGTGCGGAGCCGCGGAGCGGAGCGGGTGGCGAGCGAGACGGCCAGCGCGACTCCGCAGCGGACCCCCGAGGCCCCGCGGGACCCAAGCCACCGAGTCTGCGAGCCACCGCCCGCGACTCCTGCGCAGCCCCTCGCCGCGCAAGGGAGCGAGCTCGGAGCATCTCCCGCGCAGCCCTCCCACCCCACCTCGAACCGGACCAGGAGCGGGGAAGCCCAGTGCGAGTCAACGACCCCAGCTCAGCTTCCTCCCGGGCCACCATGACCCACTTCAACAAGGGCCCGTCCTATGGGCTCTCGGCCGAGGTCAAGAACAAGGTACGCCGGGTCGGGGGGACGGGGGTTCCCTGCGCGCGAGGCTGCGGGGCGCTGGCCAGGGCGCTGGCCACGCTTCGCGCCGCGCGCCCTGGCTTGCTGGCGTCGCCGAGAGGGGACATCGAGGCGGCTTGTATAGTTGCCGTGTGTTCCCGTCGCGTCCCGGGGCCCGGCTCAGCTCCCAGTCGCTGTCCTGGCTTTGTCCCGCCGCCTGGAGTCCCGCAGTGGCCGCCCCCGGGCCGCAGGGCCCTCGGTGGCTGTAGGGCGCGTCCCTCCGGGAAGGGGGCTCTCTGCATGGTCTTTCGCCCTTTGGGGGACCAGGGACCCCGGGAGCAGGGGCCGTCGCCTGGCCAGGCTGCGTTCGGACCTCGCGTCCCCTCCCCCATCGGCTGTGCAGGCTGCGTGGCCAAACCCGGCCCTCATTGTTCCTCGGCTCCTCCTGGGGACCGAGACTGAGTGTCCCGCCGATGGACCCCCGCAACCCCGGAGCGGCGGGAGCCCGTGCGCCGTGCTCAGGCAGGAATCCGAGACAAAGCCTGAGCGCCCCGCTTTGGGAGGGGCGTCTGCTGCAGAGTTGAGACTTGAGTGAAGTTTGGGGTCCCTTCGACTGTCACGGTCCCGAGACGTGCCTTCGTGGGTTGCTTTTGTTGAGGGTTTATTTGCCGAGGCGGGTGGCATTTTGGAGTGATTGGAATTTGGTGACGCGCAGCTTGGCCACTGCTCAGAAGAATGCGTCGGGTTTATGTTCCGGACTTTTGGCCTGGGAAAGAGATGAGAGGCGTCCCCCTCCCCAAATCCGCTCCTTCCTTCCTCCCTGCCTGCATTCCAAGCCCATGACATCAGGGGTTTCTGGGGGGAGCGAGCAGCCAATCGGCGCGGAACGGCGCACAGACCGCGCATTGTCTCCTTTCTGCTGTTCCGGCCAAAGCGCCACAAAGGAGGGCCGCTGCGCTTCCATTCCCATCCACCTCCCGGGGCCGCGGCCCGGCCACTGCCACCGCGCGTCCGACGGCTGGCCCAAGGGACCGGCCCGATCAGAGCTGCTGAGGTCCCGGGGGAAGGGGGCGGGTATCCTCGGTGAAGTGACTTACACACGGGTACCAAGGCCACCCTTGTCACGCCCAGGGGAGAGCTGTGGACCCCCCCCCCCCCCCCTGCCTGTGCGTCACAGCCTAATTTAGCTATAGATTTCCAGCAATCTTTGGAGCAAGGAGTAAGAGACTTTAGTCTGGGTCTCAAAAATCTTAATCGTTAGTCTTCTGCCTTCTGTAATGTGTGGCATTCTAGAAACAGTATCTTAAATCCTTTTTAAAGAGGCAGAAAAGTGAGAGGTCTGTGTGACTGAGGACAAATCTCACCGAATGAAAACTTAGGAACCAGGCTTTGGCAGCCTTTCAGGGATCCGCCTGTAGGAGCTGTTGCGGGGGGCGGGGGGATTCCTCTGGCCTGGCAGATGACCTTAATTACAGTCCCCTGAGTTCTTTACCTTTGCATTGGAAATGAAGTACTGGTAACTTTGGCTGGCCTTCCAGTCCTGATTGACTTTTCTTGGATGTCAATATCCAAGCTAGCTTTCTTTTTGCTAACAGAGCTGCTTCTGTCCCTTTTCTACTTCTAACTGAGAGAACCCAAGGAACTGCACGGAGTCCTGCTAGATCACTACGATTGAAAATGTTTTAAGTGGTCAAACCTCAGTTTTCAGAACCTGTGGAAAGTTAATTGTAAAGTCTGTGGACTATCCCTCTAAGCACCAAGCCCATTTGTTAATGACCCCTTCCATTTATGTGGTCCTTTCCTTTCTACAGGCCCCTTTCATAGGAAGTCTTTTGATCTTAAAGGCACAGCAGCACTGTGCAGTAGGGGGAGGGGGACTCTGTGGGTGTCACCCAGCATCATTTACTCAAGGGAGGCTGACGCTCACAGTCGCAGGGCAAAGTTGGAATAGTCTAAAAATTCCCACTCAACCAGCCATGTCTTAATTTAGTGAGGTACTTGGCCTGCTCTGCAAGTCTTTGCCCTGACTCCTCTATTTTTGCGTCCTCCTGTCACGTCTTCACATTTGGTTGGTTCTGTAATGCTGGTTCTAATCTGCTTGGGCCTGGAAACCAAATATCCATGTTTTTAAGATGTTGCATGTGGACTGAGGGCTTAGGGCTGTTGGATAAAGAGTGGATACCTGGCAGGGCATGCTGGTACACACCTGTAATCCCAGCACTCAGGTAGGAGAACTGTGAGTTTGAGGCCAGCCTGGGCCACATAGCAAGACCCTGTCCCAAACACCAAAAGAAAAATAAAAAAGCACAGATGTCTGGGAACACGACCTTTGACATTACTTGCTTTGGACACTTTGCTTTTCCTGATGCATCACAGATTTGTTTCCTTAAAACCTCATTTAACAAAGTGGAAAAAGCATGAACATCTTGGGGTGGCAGTGCACAGCGGACTTTGAGTCCAGCAGACACGAGTTCTAGTCCCCCTGCCAATTACTGCCTTATGTATACTGGCAAGTTATTCAACACCTCTGCTGGTTTCCTGATCTGTGAAATGGAGGAGACGACAGGTACTACATGAACCTACTGCACTGTGGGCTGTGGCTGCTGTGTCACTCAGTGACCATGCAGCTGTTAACTCTCAGCAACAGAAAATTAGTGTCCCTGCCTCTCTGTTGGACTTGAATAAACCTTCCTTTCATCTTATGGTTCAGCTGGGAAGGCAGCTCAGTGGTGAATCAAGGAGCCTTTGGTCTTCAGTACTTTTAATCAGTGCAACTTCAGGGGACTAGCTTTCAAATGAAGACATTTGTTTGGTGAGATGGTAATATATGACAGAACTGACGAACTTCCTCTTTGTGACAGAGCAAGAAGTTGAAGCCAGTGTGAAAACACGAGTCCTTCACTCTGGAATGTGAACAGTGTTTTCAAAAACAAGTGAAAACAGCAGAATGCTCCATAACTGTAATCTGCAGAGAATTACATCCAAGTCAGATGGACCATACAGTGTCACATGTGTCCTACAGGTTGAGCCAGGCTCTGAATGCATCTTGGGGACTGAAAGGAAAAGACAAACAGCTCTGTGCCTAATAAGCTATGAAAAAAAAAAAAATCTAACAGGTCCTCACGGGAAACGCACTTCCTGACAATTGGCTCTAAATGAAATGTTGGAGCCAGGGAAGTTTCCAGTAAGCTGAGGAGGCAGGGCAGTGCCCCAGGGACTTAGGCAGGTGCCTTGGGGACCTGCCTCAGGTCTCAGGAGAGCTGAGGAGCTGAACTGGGATGTGGGGTGTAGCAGGGAGCTGAAACACTTTGGGAGGAGGTGCTCCCATCTTCTGTGCCCAGGGATGTCTGATCTGAGGGCGGGAGCCACCTGCAGAGTCTTGTTACGGAGGCATTCCTCAGCAGCTCAGCCCCTTTGGAAGGCTATTAGTGAAAATTTAAGTTATCGAACACCAAATTAAGTCATAGCAGCCAGTGAGTGACCCTGTGAACAAACAGCTGCCCTCCAGGGTGCTCCATCACAGGAACGCCAAGGTGACTCCACTAGGAATTATACCTGGGCGGAGCGCCAAAATTACCATCAAAAGGATTTGATGGCTTTTCTTAAACACTGAGGTTCAGAATTCGATTTTTATTTAAAAGCTTCCTATTGCCTCTGTTTCCCACAGGTGGCTGCATCTCAAGAGCTGTGTCTTAGAGTTTGGCTCATAATTGTTGCTCAGCAAATATGTTGGTTTAATGAACTTACCCATCAGGGATAGCTTTTCCTCGGAAATGAACCCACAGTCTATGTAGAGTCCATTAGTGCAGGTAGGATGTTTCTGAAGGTCCTGTGGTTTTATACCTTGTTTTTCTTAACCAGTTTATCAGTTAATATCACGTTGAAAACTTACCACTAAGACGACTCCATCCTTACAGCTGATTTGGGGGTTATCTCTTAAGAAACATGTTTGGCCTTCGTTCTTCCTTAGATCCCCGTGAGAAGTGGCAGTCACCCACTGCCAGGCTTCGTGTAACGTTTGATCGCCCAGATAATCATGGAGACTTGGCCACTGGGCCAGGTCAGGGTCTTTGTTCCTGGTTGGGACTGGTCACTGTGGGGTTTGTCTACTTGCATTCCCCTCCCCGTGACCAAAACAGATAAAGAAGGTAGACCTTGCTGAGGTCCTCTTTCAAAGGCTCAGATTCACTCTGGAGTTTTATTACTTTAATTATTTTTGAATTATCATATTGTGACATTTACAGAAGTGCTTAGAATATATCATGGTTGAATTTACCCCCTCCATCATTCTCCTTTTCCCCCCATTAACCCATTCCTGGAATAGTTTCAACAGGTCTCGTTTTCCCATTTTCATGCTTTCTATATAGAATTTTTCAACCTGTTGAAATCACCACCAAAATGGGATTAAGGTAGGAGAAAAATAGAGGCGATGAACCAATTTGGGTTATAATAATATAGGCAAGGGAATGGCACAAGGACTCTCCCCGTGGCGCTATCTCACGCAGTCACTGTGGAATTTTAACGGGGGCCGCTATGTGCGCTCCTCCCTTTGCAGAGTTTGCTCGGTTGCCTCTATCTGCTCTTTTAGGTTTACGCAATAGAGTTGACAGGGAAAACACTGTCACTGCTACCACCAGCCGGAGATAACAGACTGCCTCTCTCCCCCATGCCTTGTCCCTTCCAGGTTGGGACATGAAGATTGTTGAGTGTTTTTTTTTTTTCTCCCCACCCCACTTAACGGTACATCGTGAGCTATGATCAACGTTATCTGTGACTTAATAAAGCCCAGTTGTATGGTTTTGCTTTCTCAGTCTGTTATCTTCGTGCTCAGGAGGAGAGCATGCTGTCTGTGTCTTCTCAGTGTCACTAGGTGGTGAGGGTGGCGGGAGTGGGGGTACATTGCCCTTAGGATTTTTGGGAGGTTCCACATTATTCTGAGCAGTCACCTTAACTCCCAATCCCAGGTGTAGATGGGCTCTTACCTGATACTCATTCTCCTGTAATTTCAG